CCACATCCTCACCAGTACTCAGTACTTCAGTCTTACTCATTATAGCCATTCTAGTGGGCGTGAAGTGGTATCTCATTGTGGTCTTAATTTGCATTTTTCAAGTCCTTTTCAAGTATTTATTTTCCATTTCATGTATCTTCTTTGGTGAAGTATCTGTTCCATTTTTCTTTTTGTCCATTTGTTTAAATGGATTTTGGTTTTGTAATTTTGAGTTTTTATAAATTCTGCATAGAATTTGCAAATATTTTCTTCTAATCATTACTTGCCTTTCCATTTTCTAATAGTACATTTAAAGAAAACAATTTTAATTTTGATGAAATTTGAATTTTTTATGTCTTACTTTTTGAAATTTTTACCTGACCCAAGGTGACTAAGATTTTTCTCTGTGGTTTTTCTAGAAGTCTTATGAATTTACCTCTTACATTTAGGTCTGTGGATCACTTTTCATTAACTATAATGTATGAGGTAAAGTAAGAGTTAAGGTCTATTTGTTTTTGCATGTGGATGTTCCGTTGTTCTAGTGCCATTTATTTTAAAAAGACTACTTTTCCCCTATTCAATTACTTTGGTACCCTGGGTACTTTGACCAGGATCAAAGTGCTGAGGGTGTAGCTCAAGGGATAGAGCACCTGCCTAGCAAGTGCAAGGAACTGAGTTCAAACTCTACTACTGGAAAAAAATTCTTGCTTAATGGAATAAAGTTCCATAAAATTTTTTAAAAGAAGATCAGTTGACCATAATATAGGTAACTCTGTTTCTGGACTCTCTGCTTTGTTCCATTTGCTTGCATTTCTATTCTTATCCTGGTACCATACTGTTACATTTACTGTAGTCTTGAAATCCGACAATGTGAACCCTCCAACTTTTTTATCTCTCAAAATTGTTTTGACTCTTCTAGGTCCTCTGTATTTCTATACAAACTTTTATAATCAGCTTGTAAATTTCTACCAAAAAAAAAAGTCACAGGAGTTTTGAATGGCATGTATTTTGAACTCATAGAGAAGTGACATCATAGCAACATCAAATTTTCTGACCTATAAAACACAGCATCCCCTTTTTCTTAGATGGTTCTTTTAAATTTTCCCCTACAATATCTTTCAGCTTTCATGTGCAGATTTTGCATATATTTTACAAAGTATATTTCTAAGTTTAACTTTTGATGTTATCATAATGACATTTTAATTTCATGTTTCCAATTGTTCATTTCTGGAATAAAGATGATATACAATTGATTTTCAATGTCATAGTAATTGTATATTGTTATAAAGTTGGCTTTAATGTAACTCTTGTAACTTGCAACCTGTTTAATTCTCTCTTATTAGTTCTAATAGCTTTTTTGTCTTCCTTAGGATTTTCTACATAGACAATCATACCTTTTTGAATGAAGACAGTTTCACTTATTCCTTGAGTTTCTTTTCTTGCCTTATTGCCCTGGCTAGAACCTTTAGCACAATGATGAGAAAAGTGGTCGTAATGGACACCCTCATCTTCTTCCTTTTCTGAGGGAGGAAACACTTTGCCTTTTTCCACTAAGTGCCATGGTAGTTGAGAGGTATTTTTAGATCTTCTCTAGGGAAGCATCTTTAGTTGTCTATATTACTGCCCAAATCCATTGGATATTTTCTTGGAAAGAAGGAGGAGGAATGGATGTGAGTGTCCACCATGAGGAAAATGGTTCTTTATGTGTTCAGCTCTCTCTTAGCTTTTTGATGATTTATTAGGAAATGAGCATATCTTTTCCTTAGATGCTTTGAGAGTGGGAGGTTGTTTACATTATGTGTGACCGTGACCGTGTGGTAATGCATCTTCATAAACAACATGCTTGGGAGGGGGCAGGCTGTGCTAGGAAACTACCCCACCCTCAGACCATTAGGAGGCAGTGTAGCCTGTGGTTAGGAACACTGGCTCAGCAGCCTGTGTGCCAAGTCCCAGCACAGCTCTGCAACTTTGTGAAATTACTTAACCTTCCTGTGTCACAGTTTTCCACCTGCAAAATGAAAATATCAATAAAACTTACCTTCAGGGCTTCTGAAGGCTAAGTGAACAAATGCAATTAAGTGCTGTCTGATGCATTTTAATCAAGACTTAGTTTGCATAAGGCAAAGTTAGACAGGGTTTTTCTGCAACCAGTTTACTAGATGAAGTAAAGGACAACCATATCATTTAAAAAGTGCTCTTCCCTGAAACCTCACATGAAGATGTTTTAAGGTAGGAGAGCAGATTTTCTATTTTTTTTTCAATATTGTTTGTGTAACAAATATGTTTTAATCTTATACATTGTGTAGACAATGAGGGTTGTTCTAACTGTGGATATGACATTCCTGAAGTTGATACTATCTCTATGCTTGGAGGCTGGACCAGAGTTTGACTACGTGATCTACTCATTTTAAACACTTGACAGTGGGATGGACTGAGGCCCCCACACTGCTCCTGGGTCAGTTCTCTGGTTATGTGGGCCACTGTGCAACCCCCATTGTCTTCAGCTTATTATTTCAAGGGGACAGAAACTTCTCTTGTCCATTGCTTTGCTGGGCATCTGCAAAGCAGATGGTAGAGCTGCCTTTCTATCAACATGCTCCAAGATCTGGGTCCCTTTCTGCCTGGGGCAGGTTTAGACGTGATGTAGGGGCCACTTGCCAGCAGAGATGAGGTTACAGTGGGTCTGCTCCAGCATCCTGGGGCATCACTGGAATGTTGATATATAAGGAAAAAGTCTCAGGAGCTGGCTGGCAGACCTTCTGGAAGCTTCCACCTTAACTTGAACTTGTCTTTTCTTTTGTACTTTTTGGAGGAGTAACCATCACAGCAGTCTTTGCAAAGAGCCTTCTGTAAGGCTTTCTCATCTAAAGTTTCTTCTCCAGTCAGTTGCTGCCCCTGGCTTTCTTTTAACTAGACCAGTGTCACAGCCATCGTTCCTAGTAAGCTGGCAATTGTTTGCCACAAGTGTCAAGTCTCTGTAATTTATTTGGGGTCCTAAATCCAACATCAGGCTCAAACCAGTGTGAAGACTTCCCTTGTGCAGAGTTAGGTTCTCAAGTGACCTGCAGAGCTCGGAGCCACCCAACCACAGTATTCCACACCCACCCGCCTCTATGAGCGTGGGCCAGAGACAGAGAAGTGATGTGGTACAGACAGGAGTTTCAGGCTTTGAAAAAGGCTTCCTTCTTGGTCATCACCTGTCAATTTGATGGAATAAAAACAACCAGTACATGTGTCACTACTCTACACATTGAGTTTCAAAAAAAATTTTTCAATGCTCTCAATTCTATTTGGAACATCTATCTGCACAGCGTCTTATTCCTCTAGTTTCCCTCCCATGCAGGGGCAAGGAACAGCCAATGAGTGTTTAGGAGAGCTTGTCACGAGTTTCCTGGATCATACTACAGTCTAATGGGTAGAGGTTAGGTTCTTCCTTCCAGAACTTCCAGGAACAGTTACCCAGCTCTTGTCCTCCCTTCTGTGGGCTGCCACGCCTTCTCATTTGTAATTATGACACAAGTGCAAATAGATACTGATTCCAGAAGCAGCTAGGCAGACAATATCCTTCAGTTGTCATAAGATGCTCTGTCAGATATGGAACCAGGCACACACATGACATTGTTCTCCAAACTGTGCCACTGCCTTGGGTGACCATACTGAATTATACACGGGCAGAGGCTTTTGGCAGCACTGTTTTTCCACTGCAGCACAAAGCACTCTGGTACAGGAGGCATCTTGCACAGCAAGACCTCCAGACCCTACAGAATGCAAAGCTGCTGGGAAGCAGGCTACTTTTTAACCAAGAGGGCTCATTAGCTGGTGAGTTAAAAACAAATGGGAAGCAAATATAGCAAGTCTAACTTTCTATTTGAGTGCTGTTTCCTTGAGCACTAAAAAAAAAAAAAATGCTAAAAGTTTAAATATCAAACCATTAGGTTTTCGAAACAAAGAAAGGCAAGAAGGAACAAAGAAAAGTCAGAAAAGCCAAATTTAACTCTTTTCTCTGGTCAGATAAGAATCTGCCTTTAGCTCCACCTGAAATGACTGTTAACTCCCAGCTCCATGATGCAGCATCTTTCTCCTTTTTGTGTATTTTCTGCATTCTTATCTTATTCCAGTTGTATTTCCTCACTTCTCTTCAACTGAAAAATGGAACAAAGAGGGAAAAAAAAGATTCCCCACTTGGGGTTGACTGAAGGACCATCATACACAGAGTGGGCCCACAGAAGTCACTCATTAGGTGAATAAATGATGAAAATGTACTGTGGATGCCTCTTCATTGTTTATGTTAATTCTTCACACACACCAGACAGGGAGACTGCCAAATGCCCATTCTTGAGATGTAACAGGCCTGCAGCACGCACTATGGAAACAAAGGGATGCATCTGGATATCCTGGAAAGAAGGGAGGGACACAGGAAGGGAAAGAGGAAGGGAAGGGCTGAGGGAAAGAGGGAAGGGAGGAGAACTGGTCATGTTGAGGAATAGATTAAAGTAATTAGTTCTGGTCTTTAGACTTCTTCAGGCAGTGACCCTATGCAAACAATCTCACTGCATCTTCTTCAATTTTTCTTGTCTTGGAGATTAAACTCAGGGCTTTGAGCTCACTAGGCTTGAGCCACACCCACAGTTCTTTTGTTTTTAAGATAGGATCTCCCACTTTTGCCCATGTTGGCCTCAGAATAGAAGGACCCTGTTCTGTATTCCCAGCATGCAGCATAGGCCAGGTCCTCAAATTGTTTCCTGAACATTTGCTACCTCTCAAAAATCAGCCACGAATAGTTGCCATGTTTGAGCCATGTGTGAGCAATTAACATATAGAAACTGGTCTCCCCATACATCATTTATGACATTTATTCATCTAAGGACTTAGCTTTGTAAATCACAGTGGCTGACCTACCAAAGGCTTTTAATCATGTCCATGTTTAATGTTGTATTGAAAATCTGGATATTTGTGGTGTATCATGCTAGCAAGTTCAATTCTCTTCATCAGTGGTTATTTTTCTTCTATCATATTGCCAGGTGATGACCAAGAAGGAAACCTTCTTCAATGTCTGGAACTCCTGTCTGCAGCATGTCGCTTCCCTATCTCTGGCCCATACTCACAGAGGTGAGTTGCATACTTGTGTTTGGGTGGCTCAAAGTTCTGCAGGTCTTTTGAGGACCTAACTTTGCAGAGGAAGGGAAATCCTTACACCGGTTTGAGCCTCATGTTGGATTTAGGGCCCCAAATAACTTACAGAGACTTGATGTTTGTGGCAAATCAACTCCCAGCCAGCTTACTAGGAACAGAGACCAAGTGACTAGGCCCACTGAGAACTGCTTACCTAATAGAACCTGACAGTTGCAAATGGTAACAGACAGGAGCCAGTTGGCAAAACTCTAACTCTCAGATATGGCCGTCTGTCCAACAGTGACTGTCCTTCTTAAATAAACAAATTGGAGGGCCATATACAGATAAAGCGAGAGTGTTTTTAATAGGTCCAGAACTGGCTAATGAAGCCTAGTCCTCAAGTTAGAAAGAAACAGGGTCTGCCTCTTAAATCAGTGGTTCTCAACCAGGGACAATTTTTCTCTTTAGCAGATATTTGGCAATGTTTGGAGACAGTTTTGGTGTCTGAGGAAGACAGTGTTACGGGAGGTGGGGAAGGTGGGGAAGGAAGGGGTGGTTAGTGTGTGGAAACCAGAGATGGTGCCAAATATCCCACAGGGCCCAGGCCAGTCCCCTACAGCCAATGCATCAATAATGCTGAATATTCATTTTGACCTCACCAAACCAAAATAACAAAATAAAAGGAAACAACACCAAGCAAGAGCCATAACAGATTATCACTGAAGTTGTTTCATCTCAAGAACCGTTTTGTTCACCAAGGTGATCTTACTACATGGTGGGGGGAAGTGGTAAAAGACAAAGGCCAGGAGCTCACTAAGCTTGCCTGCTGTGCCACTACCCGTAACCACTGCTGGCCATTGAGGGCAGGGCCAGGTTTGGTCACCTCTACAGCTGCAGGGGCCAGGTTCCTAGTGCTTCTCCATCACTGTCTCATGGGCAGAACTCATCAGTGGAGTCTGCTAAGAGTCTGAGCAGGAATCATGGCCATCAACTCAGGAATCCCTGCATCTAACCCAGCCTCTCAGCCTTTCTACCACCCTCCCCACCGAACTAGGAAGTTCCAAAAGAGCAAAGTGGCACATTGTTAAGTGCCCTGTAACTGAGTGCCACATGATCAAGTAAGTGCCCTATTGTAAGTGCTACAGGAATGCCCTGTACCCTCCCTAACAGCTCTGAGGACTGTGAACTGGAAGGAGTGGCCTCTTCTCTCCTTCTAAGGACCAGCTTGGGGACCTTGCACACTTGGATGAGCTTCATGACACAGGGCTGGAGAGTAGGAGACTGGAATGAGAGCATTCAGACAGCACAGGCTTCTCCTGGGCTCCAGAGTCCAGTTATCTGGGTTCAGATCCTGGCATTCCCCCTACCTGCTATGTGAGTTATTCAGCTTCTCTGAATTTCCATTTCATCCTCATTTACAGAATGGTATCTACCTCAGGGACTCTGGGAAAGATTAAATGAGATGATCCTCTAAAATCCTTGCCTTAGCATCTGACTCATATGTTTAATAAAAATATTGATTACTGTTAATCACTAGTCTCTGAAACCTCAGTCTTCATAATCAAAGTAGAGCCTGTAGGCTTTGTTCCTTAAGAGGAAGATCAAATGGGTTAAGTCTTGATGTGTGAAGTCTTAACAGCAGGAAGAAATGTTAAAGATTGGATGTCACCGCAGCACAAAAGAAATCCCAATTGATTCTGGATGTGTTATTGGCTAATAATCATGGAGCAAAAGTGATTGTTTTTAGGTTCATGGTCAGATAAAGAGGATTTGGTTATATAAAGTAAAAAGAAGAAAAATAATAAGAATTAGTTCAACTAATTCTTGAATTAATTAGTTCAATTAATTCAAGAATTAGCAGTCTTTAGCAGTATTTTGAAATAGAGAAATCTTTCTGCAAGAAGGAGGTTTGTACAGATACATGATGGGTCCTAATGAGAAGAGAGCAGTGAGTATGCACCAGCCAGGAAATCTAGTCAACACATCAGTCCATTCAATGGCATATTGCCCTCCAGCAGAGGTCTCCAGGGAATGGCAGAAGAAGTAGAAGAGCCCATCTGTCTTCTGTGACCTGGCCCAGATGTTGTCTATAGAGATTTGTGAAGGAAGAGCACACAGAAGGGAAGAGGGCCATCAGTCTGTTAGAGCTCAGACCTTAACATCACCCCAGATGAAAATGAACTAGAATTTTTATTAGGAACAGATGGAAAAAAAGCCTTCTGGCATCGGTATCTGTGTGTCACCTGAGGACTAGGGAAAACTGTGTTCAAAATACAAATGTTAAGCAGTCTCCAGTGGATTCTGTAGTGGGATGAACCACTACAATGATAAATTGATATTTTTCTGTGATACACATTTTTATCTTGCCCTAGAAATAGAATAGCAGTTCTGAAGCCTGATGGTGTCTGAGCCCCCAAGGCTGTGTCAATTTCTAGGCAAAAAAGAATAAACTAGGCACTTTCATTAACTAAATGGCATCCACCCTTTTCAGCTCTGTGCAGAATTCTCTCTCTCTCTCTCTCTCTCTCTCTCTCTCTCTCAGCTGGTGAGTAGTTCTCATTATGTAGCAGGAAGTCCCTTTTCTGGTTCTTAATAAAGTGCCTAATAATTTGGAATGTTCATATTGAGAACAGGTTATAATTATAATTAGAAAATATAATGGTGTGGATTTCTGCCTATTGAGGATTAATTTCAGACTCCTGTCA